CGTATGTAATTGTGATAGTTCTTTGTACTGCTAGTACTAACTTTCATTTTAATGCTGTTTGTATTTTTTAAACAGTAAGTTTAAATAAGTCAAATTTTAATACTAGAAATAAATGACATTATAACACCAAACTTGTTATTTTTCTTCAATTGAACACTCAACGTTTCGCTAGAGCGTTTCACCATAACAAAAATCGTAACTGACAGTACGAAGTTTCAAATGGTTTAAATTAGTGGTTCTCAACGTGGGCCATATGGCCCCCCATGGGGGTCACGGCATGTTTCTAAGGGGCCACACCTGAATGACAGAAAATTATGCAATGCACTCAGAAAATACTGAGTGGGGCCATCGAAACTTCACTGCCCGAATAAAATATTTAAAATTGAATCAAAAGTTCCCTTCACCCCGTATCCCCCACAGCTCAGAAGTCAAGTTACCAGACGCGACTAATACTTGAGTAACAATCAAAATTTTGGATTGGGTGGTGGGTCCATTTGGGGTGAATGCGATTGATGTTGACATCACATTACAAGAATGTCTCATCGAAATGCAGAGTGATATAACAGCCCAAGCTAGATTCAAACGTGACAAACATTATTTCCGGGTAAGTAGTGAAATAGCTCTGGGAGAAGGCAAAGTTGTATTTTTATCGCTTTTCCCACATCTTATCTGGTTGAATCTGGTTTTAGTCGGGTGACTTATTTGTTATTAAAAATACGTAACCGCTTTGATGTTGTGAAGAGAGGCGATCTTCGCTTATCACTGACCACACTGCAACTGGACATTCAAAAAACTTTCAAGTGTTCATCAGGCCCAAGGATCACACCGAATAAAATGTCAATGATTAACAAAATGTTTAAAAACAATACGATATTGTAAAAATAATATTGTAAATATATTATAAGTCAACAGTATGGAAATAAAGTAACTTTTTTCCTAAGTAACAGCGCCTACAAAGGGTGGGGCCACAGAGATAAATCAAACTCAAAAGGGAGCCAGGAGAAAAAAAAAAGGTCGAGAAACTCTGGTTTAAATAACGAATGCTAATAGAACCTATATCTATATAGTTTTAATTGACGTTACCTTAAGGATCGACAATCTACCTAATTTCACAAACAGTTAGAAAAATCACTTTTCCTTTATTTCGATTCCCATCATTCCAAAGCTTCCAAGAAAGGTGCAATTATTAGAGAATTAAAAAAATCGATCGCAACTGTGTCGAAAGAAAAACATTACAAACTCTGAACTGAAATTACTACTACTGAGCAACGAATATCCACCTTCTTATAAGGAATACATTTTCAATGGCTATGACGCGCAAAAATCAGCATGGCATCTCGAACATGAAAAACACAGATAAACAAGAATTTAAAAAAGAATAGGCCCGGCATGGCCAGGTGGTTAGGGCGCTCGCGGGTTCGAATCCCCGTTACACCAAACATGCTCGCCCTTTCAGCCGTGGGGGTGTTATAATGTGACGGTCAATCACACTATTCGTTGGTAAAAGAGTAGCCCAAGAGTTGGCGGTGGGTGGTAATGACTAGCTGCTTTCCCTCTAGTCTTACACTGCTAAATTATGGACGGCTAGCGCAGATAGCCCTCGTGTAGCTTTGCGCGAAATTCAAAAAACAAAACAAAAAAAGAATCATTTTCCAAAGATGACACAAATGGTACTTCTAATTGACGAAAGTATCTCCATGAAAATAACAGCTATAATCAGAAAATCTGAACTGTCAATTAAAGTTATAGAACACTAAAAAAAAAACAATTTTCAAAATCTCACGACACTACCCTACAATGTAATAAAGCCGACTGCCATAAAAAACGTGTTTGCAATCTAAATATGGGTGTTTTGTCTCCAGTGTTGTTTACCAGATTACACGTAACATCTGCCATCATACGTACATTGGGGAAACCGGAAGAACCGTACACGCAAGGGTATGAGAACATATTGACTCTCTTTACAAACAACAACATGAAAGAAGCGCAGTTGGAGATAATTTTCAACTATTTATTTAATCATGGACAAATAACACCTGACATGAAACCACCATTCTCGATACAAATCCTTACCAAAGTCATCAGGAACAGATACAGAAAATTAAAGACACTCATCTTATCGAACAACTACGACCACAGATCAATAAGGTCAAAGGATGACATCTATAATTATTTTATTTTTCATTTTATCTTTTGTTATTTCAATCTGTAACTTGATAAAACTTTTGTTTACGACAGGTAACAGTTAATTATTTCAACAATATAAGTCTTTCCACAATAAGCTTTGTTACTTAATACTAGAAATAAATGTTTGTTTGTTTGTTTGTTTG